AGCTGATCGACCCGCGCTCGTACGGGGCGAAGGTGGGTTGCTGCTGTTGATTTCCGCGCGCATATGACGACCCGTCGAGGCTCATGGGTGTCGCTCCGTTGTTGTTGCTGTTGTGTGATTGTGCAGGTCCCGATTGCTGGTGCTGCTCGTAGAAGGACATGAAGGAGAAGAACTTCTCCATCATGCTTGGGTCGAAGTTCGCGGGGTGATTTGCGGGAGTCTCAGTAGATGTCACCCTTGGTCTTGTTGCCGTGCCTTCCTCTGTCTGTAGGCCAGAGGCAGGAGGTGGGGTAGGGATAGTGCCCGGGGAGCCGTTGGAGGAGCTCCTTGTCGGAATAGTAGGTATAGTAAGAGGCCATAGCTAGGGATGACCTAGCTAGGCAAGAGAGAATGAAGCAAAGGAAGGGGTTTGCACTAGCAAGGATGGGATACAAATAGCAAACCCTAGAAGGGTTGTACTCGCTATAGAGCACCCCACTGCAGGCTAGAGCATAATATTCTGACACTTCTTTCCTTGCTTGTTGCCATATCTTGTAATGACTTGAAGGTAGTGGAGTTTCCCCTGTTTGCTCTCATACCATGTTGGGCTGAGATAGCCCCTTAGGATCTTTTCAAGGGAGAACTCTGGGTAGGATAGTATTGTAGTAGCGGAAGCTTTAATGAAAGATTGTGAACCACCTTGCGCTGGTATGTGAGGGCAAAGTAGATTGATTATAGCAAGGAAGTACAAGATTATATAATAATACAAGGAATATGAAAGGATGCAGTTTGTAACTACTTTACTGTTGCTGTTGCGGTTCGATACAGTACGACTCGGGCAACTGCTCTGTAACGAGTCAGTTGTGTGTCCTTAACTGTCGCGCTGTATTTGTCAGGTCAAAGGTCGCTTGACCTTTGACTTTCGCGTAACCTCCAGCAACCTCTCAACCTCCGAGGGTTGACTCGCGCTTGTTTCGATACTGCTTGCTTCGCTTCTGGTGCGATGTTTCGACACGACTGAAGCGCTTAAGATTCACTGTTTCCAACAGTAGTAACCATCCTCTTACAAGCCTATGGTAAAGTGTGTGCGCTTCTATTTTGAGCACTGCGCTTACGTTCGGTGCTCGATTATAAGCGGACCCCGTGCTATTACGAAGTTGTGTCAGTACCAGTATAGACTTACTTCCAACAATTTAGCACTAATATTGCATTCCAGGGTATATTCAACAGTAGTCAAATTAGACTAGCTAGGGACCTATCTACCTAGCTGCCTAGGCTGCGAAGACATGTCCTATCTTTTCTACCGCACTGTATCACCATCTAAGTTGAGGAACTGTCATTCGAAAATATTGGGAATGTGCTAGCGTAAGTATAATGATGAGTTTCTTTTAAACGCCAGAATTTCTCAAACGGTTTTCCGGCGGACCCTGTTGTTTCATGCCAGTTTGAAATGCAACTTATGTGCTAGCTGGAGAAAAACGCAACTTCCCTGGTTGGCAGCTTGAAATGCAGCTTCGAGTTCCATCCAGCGCTAGTTGGGATGCAGCTTGGGAGTGCAGCTCAGCTTTGCAGGGCGACGTCAGGTTTCACAACTTTTTGCACTCTCACTGCGGTCAACTTCGTTTCGTCAAGGTGCAAAATGGTGAACATTGCAGACCGCTCTCCACCGTATGGAACTGTCTTGAACCGAGATACAAGAACTGTATGTCACAATGCTAGGCCAAAACGAGAAACAGGCAAGAAGGGTTTTGACTAACAAGCATAGGGATACATATATGCAAACCCTAGAAGGGCTGTACTCGCTATAGAGTACCCCACTGCAGGCTAGACAACCATCACATTCTGACACACCCCCATAGTCAAAGTGGGGTACAATCAACATAACAAGCAGACAGAGCAATAGTTCACAATTATAAGCAAAGCTAGAGGCTATCACAGAGGGCAAGTGAGGAGGAGGAGAAACTGTGGGAGCAAGAAGATGAGAGGCGACGGCTGAAGCTGCAGACACACAGGCAGCAGGAGTACGCCGCACTGACGCTACCAGGCTAAACCCGGACTACACGGCGACAGGCGCAGCTGGCTCGCTGTGCTCCCAGGAGTGCACACACTGTAGCTACCGGGCGCAGAGCCCCGGACTACTCAGGCCACAGGGGGTCGTGGCTCCCTGGACTTCAGGCGCTGCGGACGACAAGTCGACGGCCTCCTCTCAACTTCCCCCAGCTGTCCCACCCCCTTTTTACACACCCCCTGCTGTTCCCCTAGCACCGCTCACACTACACCCCCTAGCGCCACTCCCTCGGCTCCCACACACCCACCCCCCTCAGCGGCAGCTGCAGCAGTGGGAGACGGAGAAGGAGGAGGAGGAGGGGAACGGCACTCAGTGGCTTCACCCCCATACCCCTCACCCCCAAACCCTAATTCAGGAGAACGGGCTGTAGGAGGGGTGGGGCGCCAGTAGAAGCACGGGGGACAGTGGGGAGGGCAGGGGCAGCGAGGAACGGGCCGCCCACGGGCCTGGCATAGCCGCCCGAACCGCGCGCAGGCGGCCCGAGCCGCGCGCGGGCCTGGCGCTTCCTGTACGGGCCGCGCGCGGGCCTGGCGCAGCCCGTACGGGCCGCGCGCCGGCTGTACGGGCCGCGCGCAGGCCACGACGGGCGACGGGGGGCGACGCGCGGGTCCCCGTCGCCCGTCGCAGCGCCTCCCGGGGGCGACGCGCCGAGTGACGGGGCAGAAAACCGCCGCGCGCCCAAATCGCTGCGCGCCCGGAGCGCGCGGCAGGCAGGAAACAGCAGGAAACAACAGCGGAAGCTTCTGGTGGGACCACCCACAGGATCGACCCAGGAGGGTCGACCCGCTCTGATAGCATGTCACAATGCTAGGCCAAAACGAGAAACAGGCAAGAAGGGTTTTGACTAACAAGCATAGGGATACATATATGCAAACCCTAGAAGGGCTGTACTCGCTATAGAGTACCCCACTGCAGGCTAGACAACCATCACATTCTGACACTGTAAACGTGTGAGCACTGTACAACCTGATGTTGCCTAGGTCAGCGTTGGGATTCATTCCAGCATTGAAATGAAGCAGTCGAATTTTTTTCTCTCCCTTTCTTCGTTGGGATCAAACCTGCTAGTTTTCGTGCGCACGCCACCACTTACTGGTGTTTCGACTGTTAGATTACACCCCACCACACGCCCACCAATTCCGGCTCGTCTTCTTTGCAATGCTGAGCAGATTCGAAGTAATCCCCGTCAGAACTGGGATGGTTACTTCGTTTGCGTTTCATATAGTCCAACGGCGCCGCGTGATCACAAGAAAGTATCTTTGGCACCCGCGGGATGGCTGGCGGCGGAAGGGCGGAGTTTGAATCGCATTATTTCACCCCAGTCAGCACGCCATTCCAAGAAAATCTCTCTCTTTCAAGAACTCCCTTCTTGCTGCGTTTACGAGAGTGCTCACCTTGGTCAACATCGTCATTGCCATCGTTAGTTTCAATAACTCGCATCAGCTATGGCTACAAACGAACTGCGACTCTCTGGCTTTGTACTTGCCGCCGCACTGCTCTCAGGTAGTACTCATTCCTTCACCTTGCGAACTCTTAACCGTCTGCTAACAATGAGTCCTTGTTTTACGTTTTAGGGTTGTCTGCACATCCTGCACATGCTGCACATGCACGCTGCAGATTATGCTGTGCAGATTATCATGTCTGCACATGCCCCCCCCATGCTCTCTGCATCTCTCCGGCCCCTTCCGCGGCCACCTCCTCATAATCCCCCACACTGCTTTCTCCCAGCCTGTGCGCCCAGAGCTGCTGTTGCCATTCGCCTGCTCTCTGCTACCAGCAACCAGTGCTCAGTGGGTTATGTGAAGGACGCACAAGGCAACTGCGCTGGTGGGTCATCGCGGAAAAGGAAAATGTCGAATTTGGGGGTCCGAAGGTTTTTCTACGAAAAGCCTGCGTCTGTGTTGCGCGAAGCGTCCAAAAAACAACGCACGCGAAACGCGACATTCCGTACACCAGTACCGGATGTTTTCACGGACACAAAACCGTCACCCGAAAGTTGCATTCCCGTCAACAGTTTCGCGTCAATCGGTTTTGCGCGTTTGAGAGAGTTTGCAAGCGGTAATGCAGAGTAACAAATGACAGTGGGATGTAACCACACAATTTACGAAACAAACCGACCCCACGAATCTTCACGAAATCCAGGAGGTTGCAGAACTGGATACATTGTTTTCGTTTTTTTCTCAGATCTGAACTCCAACCACCCAAACAAAGCCACGGACGCTAGATGGTTCTTCAGGGGTGTGACGTGTGAGCCCAAATATCATTTATAACCAATCACTGTCAAACAACACATGCCATCTTGAACACGTCAGCACGCCCAGCCTATCCAAACCAAATCAAACGCCCACCTCATACAGTTGTTCCGTCCACCCCGTTGCAGACCACGCAGATTCCCAGCATTCACGCACTTATTATCACCTACGCCCACAGAACACACATTTCGGACTGCAAGTCTCTTCAACTTCTGCACACTCTTTTCGTAATCTCCGCACTCCTCGTCCAACCCTTCTTAACTCCGAGTTCCTTCAATCCCACAGCCAGACTGTGTGAGAACGTCGAGACTATGTTGCCTTGCGCGAACATAGTATCGTTAATTCTATTTTTTTTTTTTTTCAATCGTCCATACGCATGTCTGTCCGTTTTTCACATCCCTCCCCTTTTCAGGCGGCAGCTCCGGCCAACTATTGACGTCGCGCTGCTGGGGTACATGAGAGTCGCGCAAAGGAAGGCCATTGTTGCGCAACACGCCAGGTACGTTCACAGTTCTGATCTTGCACGTGAAGCTGTCTTTATTTTATTTTATTGTGCAGTTTCTATTTGTTTATGTACACGTTTTTCCTAGTGCGACATATAACTGTATATGTCTTGCTCGCCGTTTCGCCGTTTCCAGTTACCGTGTCGCTTCGGTTTAACGCATTGCTCCTCTGTGCAGCCCCATTTCACGTTAACTTCTCGTATGCCTCGTTTCCAGCTCGTTCCTTTATCACGCTTATTCTGGACAGCTAAGTCTGCTGCAATCGTGGTGTTTAGTCCCGCTGCGATTGACTGTCCTAAGGGTATGTATTCTTGTGTCAAGCAAAATTTGCTATTACTAACCCATCTGAAGCAATGTCAGTGCGATACGTAACAGCACGCTGTGTTTGCATGTGTTGCAGAGCGTGCCTGGTTTTGCACGTTTACCGTGAACCATTTGTGCAGTATTTTTATATTTCAGCAGGGTTGCATACTCCAGTCGTAAGAACTCCATAGGTGAGCATATAGTTTTGCTTGGTTATGAGGTTTCTATTTCCTTCGTTCTTCGAGGTTACATTCGTTTTCTGCCTGGCAGGGTGTGCAGGGCTTCTTAGCTATGGATTATGCGTAGTGTATTATGGGTACATTGTACGTTCTTATACTGGTATAATTTGTATGCCCTGTCAGATGAACTTGTTACAGTAAAATTATTTATTTTTTACCAAAAACGCACACCAATATAGGAGATTCGTCAACCGGAACCATGAAATCGCCAGTCAATGAAATTCGAAACCGCGCACCCCATTTCGTGCTCGATTGGTCCACGTGGCACAATTAAGAGCGTTGATATTGTCAGGATCCAACGGTTGTAGGTAGCTTACAGGAACTGCCACGTCAACATGTTTCAGTTTCATCTGGCGTACATCGTATGCCACGTGGCGTTGTCGTGACACTTTCGCATGGGTTGCCCAAGAGTGACGTTTTCCACCTCCATAGTTGCATTACCGTATACCTCACAACTGCACCGAAGTGTACAGTTTGTGTTGGGAATGTGACGGGAAAGTCACTTTGCAAGTTATTGAGGCTACCACTGTTGTCGAGTCAAACTTTTTTCTTGCGCGGGAAATGCAACTGGAAAGTTACGAAACAGTAACTTTTAGGTTTTTTTTCGCACTTCCCTTTTCCGCGATGGTGTTATGAATGCAACAATATGGTCCACTATGCTGCATCATTTGGTTTCTGTACTTACGTTCAGTGGCTTCAATCAACCTACAATCTGGCATATGATCTATGCCTGTGCTCTAGCATTCACCTTACCATGCCGCGAATGATACCGGTATTCCGCATGGTCGTTTCAGCTCCTCATGTGCTTCTACGATCGAATGTGTCTGTGTCTGACCCCGTGCCTGGGTGCAGACTCGTGCACGGTGCGCAACTGCGGCACCAACGCGAGGTGCCTCAAGAGCCAGGCGGGCTGGGCGGACTGCGTGTGCGACAGGGGCTTCAAGCTGCTGCCCGACACGTCCTGCGTCCGTGAGTTCAGCCTCACCCACCCACCCTTGTTGCTTCCCATATCCGCTGCTGCCCGATGCGTCATGCGCTCGTGAGTGGCTCCACCCTCCCGGAAGTTCCCACATCCGCTTCTGCCCGAAGTCAGCGGCGTCTTGCACATGACCTAGCACTAGAGTCATGCCCATCAAGGGCATGAATGCTCCTCTTGTGACATTTCTGCCATTTCTGCCTCTCATTCGTTGCTGCCTCCATGCCTGTCAGCATGTGTTGGCACTCCACCAATTTATTCTTCGCCCTCTACTCTGATTACTCTGTTGTCCTCCCTCTCGTGCTATACCTGGCAGAGCTATGTACCGCCGAGGACTGTGGGGAGAACGGGTACTGTGAGGAGGACCAAGGAGTCTCCTCCTGTCATTGCAACACTGGCTTTGCCAAGACCGCTGATGGCTGTGTTGGTCAGTGCTGCTTATCCTTGTTGCACAGATAAGTTGCTGTATCCTTGCTGCATTATTGCGTTGCTGTATTATGTTGTTAATTATGGCACTGCTGAATTCTACTGTTCGTCTTCCCCTCTCTTGTCCCCTTACCAGATACGTGCGTGCTCCAGGCGTGTGGAAACAGCACGTGCATCAAGGACACCGAGGGAGTGGCATCCTGTGTTTGTGACCCTGGCTTTGGGTTGGAGGCGGATGGCAGGACATGCACAGGTAGCTATTTTCTGTGTACTGCTGCAGATGTTCTGTGTGACGCTGCTGATGCTATGTGCTGTTTTTGTTTTTTATTCTCTCTGTTTGTTCCCGTCGCTCCTTCCTCTCTTGGCAGACACGTGTGTGCTCCAGGAGTGTAGTGAGAACGGCGAGTGTGTCCAGGACGGGGATGCCATGGCGTCCTGTGTTTGTGACCCTGGCTTCACGCTGCGGGATGATGGCAAGTCGTGCATGGGTAAGGCTGCTGACTGCTGCTATTCTTCTGTCCTTTTCTGCTATGAGCATTCATGATGTTATCTTCACCTTTTCATTTTTCTGGTTTTTCTACCTCGCAGGCGATTCGCCCAACAGGCCAGCTGTTGACATTGACCAGCCACCTGCTGCTATCAACCGCCCCTGCCCTGCGGGCGAAGAGAAGGACGCAGACAGCAACTGCGTAGGTGGGTGCTCTTGGAGAGAGTGAATGCAGCATTGCTCCACTTCAGCCTTGTGGCCTTACTTGACAACTGCAATCCACGTTACAGCTTCGACATATGGCAAGAATGTTTAAGGCCAATTGTATTTCTCACTTGATGATTTTGCCTTGTTCTGCTGCGGATATGCACCAACTTCTCTTGGGCTTCTGTCTCCCACGTGTTCTCTTCTCTGCCACCATCTATGCCTGCTTCTGAACTCCATGTGCCTTTGTCTGGCCCTACGTACCTGTGTCTGCAGACTTGTGCACGGTACGCAACTGCTGTTTGCTGCTATGCTTCCGTTCTTTTCTACTATGAGCATTCATCATATTTTTTTCTTCTTCTTCTTCTTCTTCTTCTTCTTCTTCTTCTTCTTCTCTTCTTTTCTTCTTCTTCTTCTTCTTCTTCTTCTTCTTCTTCTTTTCTTCTTCTTCTTCTTCTTCTTCTTCTTCTTCTTCTTCTTCTTCTTCTTCTTCTTCTTTTTCTTCTTCTTCTTCTTCTTCTTCTTCTTCTTCTTCTTCTTCTTCTTCTTCTTCTTCTGGTTATTCTACCTTGCAGGCAATTCGCCCAACGGCCGCTGACGTTGACCTGCCACCTGCTGCTCTCAACCGCCCCTGCCCTGCGGGCGAAGAGAGGGACGCAGACGGCAACTGCATTGGTGGGTGCTGTTGGAATGAGTGAATGCAGCATTGCTCCACCGCAGCCTTATAGCTTCTACAATCTGCAATCCAGGTTACCGCTTCTCCTACATGTTCCCTACCACCATTTGTGCCTGCTTTCGAACCCCACGTGCCTGTATCTGCCCCACGTGCCTGAGTGCAGATGTGTGCGTGGTGGCGCAACTGTGGCACCAACGCGAGGTGTCTCAGAGCGAGGGAGGCTGGGCGAACTGCGTGTGCGAGAGGGGCCTCAAGCTGCTTCCCAATGCGTCCTGCACTCGTGAGTCCACTTTTCCTAAATCACCGATTCTCAGGGTAACATTTGTGCCGTTGCTGCCTTCTCAGTGCATGGCACTCAGAGAATATTCCACTCTCCTGTCCTCTCTCTGTCTTTGTTGCTTTCCGTTCCACATGTGTACTTGTCTGTTGCCATGAGCCCGACAGATTCTTGCTCGATAAGGGACTGTGGGGGAGAACGCGTACTGTGAGAAGGAGCAGGAGCTCGCCGTCTGTCACCCTTGAGAATTCTCAAACATTTTCTTTTGTCCTGTGTTAACCCGACAGACTCGTGTGCGATAAGGGACTGTGGGGAGAACGCGTACTGTGAGAAGGAGCAGGAGCTCGCTGTCTGTCACTGCAACTGGGGCTACGCCATGACTGACACCGGCTGTGTTGGTCAGTGCTCTGCTGCAATGCGTGACAAAAGGTTTTCCACTGGATGATTCTATTCTATGCCATGACCGACAATGGCTGAGTTGGCCAGTGCTGCAACGCGTGTCGAATGTTTCTGTGTTTTCATGTCGGATGATCCGATGCCACATCCGTTGAGGAGATGCTTTATGTGCAGCGGAAAGATGTCGTGCCGTGGATAGTAAGGCTGCACGGTTGCATGCCATCCGTACTGAGGCCATATGCTTTTCCGTTTAGTTTTCATATTTTCTTTTCATTTCTTTAATCTCAACGCTTGGCATTTATTGTTCACGTTGCTTTGCTCTCCCCTGGCAGACACATGCATACTGCAAGCGTGTGGTGTAAACGGCCATTGTGTGAAGGATTCGTTGGGGCTGGCGTCTTGTGTCTGTGACGTTGGCTTCACTCTGCAGGATGATAACAGGACGTGCACTGGTAAGGATGCTGTTTGTTGCTGTGCTTTTATGTGTGCTTTCGTGTCTTGTGTGTTGTGCTGATCTGCGTTTCCTTCTGTGTGCTCTCCCCCTTCCCTCCCTCTCCCTCTCCCTCTCCCTCTCTTTCTCCACTACCTCTCCCTCCCTCCACCTACACCGTACCTTTTCCTCCCCCCCTCTACTTGTCACCTCCCTCTCCTTCATCTCACTCTCGTGCTCATTGCGAGTGATTTTTGAGAATTCTCAAAAATCACTCTCGTGCTCATGGACTCTCTTTCTCATTCTTCTACCCTTCCCCCCTACGGCAAGCCTCCATCTATTATCCCTCCGCATTCCCTCCCCTCTGTTGCTTTCGTTCTCTAGGTCCACACAGTTCCCCCACGCTTAATGACAACTCCCCCCCCTCTCCCTTCCCCTCCCCACCTTCTTCTCCCCAGATAATTGCATTCTTAAGAGTTGTGATCCATTGACGGAGGATTGTTGGAAGGATGAAGGTGGCACTGCACACTGCAAATGCAAATGGGTCTACACACGTCAATCAATGGCAAATGCGTTGGTATGTAATCATGGACTGTGGGAGAAGGAGCAGGAGCTCTCAGTCTGTCACTGCAGTGCTTTTATGTGCTGTCGAATGACGGCATGTGTTGGACAGTAACGTTGTTCGTGCTACCACGATTTCACTTTGTACTTCGTCCAAATGCTTTTTTTGTTGTTTTTTTTTTTCCCAACAATTTGCATTTACTGTTTCTGTTGATTCGTTCTCCCCTGGCAGACACATGTATACTGCAAGCGTGTGGTGAAAACGGCCATTGTGTGAAGGATGTGTTGGGGTTGGCGTCCTTGTTTGTGACATTGGCTTCACGCTGCAGGAAGATAACAGGACCTGCACTGGTAATGATGCTGTGTCTTGCTGTGGTTTTATGTGTGCTTTCGTGCCCTTGT